CGTGGATGCCTACTGCTGAGGAGTCCGACAGTAGGACGAAACGGCCGTTCAGTACTTCCAGGTTTTTCGTGGTGGTCTAGCTTCAATTGACTCACGTTTTCAAATATGAAAATAATTGACAAAAATAACTGGATATATATATCTGTGCAAGAACAACTGTGAGGTCATTTAAAATTACAGTTGAAAAAACGCAAAGAGGAACGTGAGACAGTAATGAAAGGAATTTTGAAAATAGATAAGATACTACTATTTGCTTACTTACAACTGAGTAAATAGTTTAAGTTCTTAATTTTTTTACTGCTTCGGTAAGCCGAAGGGACCATGTTTTTTGTTCGTTGTTTATTTTGAAGGATTAAGAGAATGTTAATGTAGTGTTTAGAGTGCTCGAAAATCCGAACATGTACACTTTGATCCGTTCTTCCAATATATGTACTTTGGAACTTACATGTACAGTTCGAGTAACTGAGAGGTGAGGACCCGTCAATTTTTGTTTGAGTGAGCGATCAACTCGTTTTGCATAACGTCGTCAGTTTTTCCGATGGATAAGCAACATTCACTGCATGTATTCTGTGGTTAATTATTCCAGTAATTTCATCTCTTTTGAAGCCCTGATCCAAGAATCAGGTTTTCTTTTCCACTGTACCGTACTTAATACATACACTGAGTTTGGAACATTTCTCGATAAATTTCAATGGCTATGCATTTCCACGTAAACATATTGTAATGGAAGCAAGTTTCTCCTCCAAGCTCTCATTCGAGCATAGTTTACGAGCGTACTAGACAAAAATGAAATTGATCACCACTCGGTAACAGATAAATTGTAAGCATCATATTAGTGCATATGGTTAGTTGTGCCCCGAATACATCAAATCTTAAGGCTATGAGGTGACACTGCTTCAAACCCACCAAGGAGAATCATTAATCATATGATTTTAGGAACGTTTGAATGACAAGTGATAAATAGATTGAAACTAAAATCTAGTGTTCCCTGTCGACTTCCTGTAACCATCTAGAATATGAATATGTAATAAGAAGTTAAGGTCGTCACATTTGCATAGAAAATACTCGGACAACTATGAGTTATTTGTTAGTTGACAGATAAATAATCAAGATTGGAGGATGTGGAAACCTTCACATATCTGGGCAGCATCATTGATGAACATGGTGGATCTGATGCAGATGTGAGGGCGAGGATCGGCAAAACAAGAGCAACATATTTACAAGTGAAGAACATCTAGAACTCAAAACAATTGTCAAACAACACCAACATCAGAATTTTCAATACAAATGTCAAGACAGTTCTATAGTATGGGGCGGAGACGTGGATAACTAAGGAAGCTACCACCCAGAAGTTATGGGTGTTTATTAACATTTGTCTACGTAAGATACTTCGGATTCTTTAGACAGACACTATCAGCGACACTCGACTGTGGGAGACAACAAACCAGATTCCGGTGGAGAAAGAAATAAAAAAGAAGCTCTGGAAGTGGATAGACTAAACATTGAGGAAATCACCCAACTGCATCACAAGACCAGCTCTCACATGGAATCCTGAAGGTCAAATGATAAGAGGAAAACCAAAGAACACATTACTCCGAGAAATGGAGACAGACATGAGAACATTAAACAAAAATTGGATAGAACTAGAAAGGAAGACTCAAGACAGAGTGGGTTGGAGAATGCTGGTCACACAATAAGTAATGATCCATCACAATTCCCAAAGAATATAAATAATATTGGAAAAGATACGGAAGCCTTAGAAGCTAAACACTTGAAAATCATCCACTTACATCTCATCTTCTGGTTTATATATGTAAGGGGGTCTCCATTATAATTACTTGATTCTCATAATAGCTAAGAACAATCCATGTTTTCATATTCCTTTAATAATATCATCAATGTTTAGTTATTTCAATTTTGAAAAGACTAAAAAATAATGTTTTACTCCATGAGGTAACAAACACTTTAGTAATTAGATCACATGTACATATTCACCGTTGGGTTACCATAAACAATTCTGTGTCCTTATTTAAATCCATGTGTACTGTAATAAAAAGAATCTGTGCTTGAATTTAGAAGGAATACTTTAAATTTTTTTTTTAATTACAGTTTATTTGTATGATAAACATGATTCAAGAATGAATTTTGAGAATTTGTAATAAAAGAAGTGACCAGTGGAGTTCAAACCAGGTCTATTGTGAGATATCAACTCACTGAAGATAATTGGTGAACGGTTGCTCAATTTCGTGGATTGGTTGAAGTTAGACATTAGCACCGTTGGATACCGGCCAGCTCAGTGGTCTAGTGGTTAAGTGCTCGCGCGCGAAACTGGTATGTCCTGGTTTGGAATCTCGTGAGGCAAGGTCGTGGATACGCACTACTGAGGAGTCCCACAATAGAACGAAACGGCCGTGTAGTGCTTCCAGATTTTTCATGGTGGTCTGGCTTTAATTGATTCATGATTTCAAGTATGAAAAATACTGAAATATCCGCAAAACCCTGTCTGATAATAAAATGAAATTGATGGGGATTAAATTCACTAAGTATTGTTTGTTTTAATCTTCCCATTGATGTTTTTGGACTGCAATTGATCAGTCTCTTATTAGCATATGTGCATATTGTGCGTATTGCTTTGATATAGCCTTAATTGACAAGCATTATAAGCAAAGGTAGATGAGTGGATAACGCGATGGCGTTTGAAGCGAAAGGTACTGGGTTCGAGTTTCAGAGTGAACATCAAATCTGAGATGCAGGCACATTCAGCTAATTAGTCCCAAATACAACGAAACGCGCGTCTTCGATTCCACAGCTAGCCAAAATCCATCTTTGCTTGATGGATATTAGTTTAATTTCAAGACTGTATTTATTATAAATTGATTACAGTTGAGATATTATTAGAAACTAAAGTGAACTGCTGAAAAAATCCCATACTAAGACATAATACCCTTCCAGAGCTTCTTGGTTTCAAATAATTCTACAACTGAAATCAATCTATGACTAAAATCTACTTCTAAATTAACTCATTCTTTTTAATAGTTGAAATCATGAATCAATTGAAGCCAGACTACCATGAGAAACCTGGAAGCACTGGACGACCATTTCGTGCTATTATGGGACTCCTTAGAAGTGCGCACCACGTTGGATGCCGGCCAGATCAGTGGTCTAATAGTCAAGCGCTCGCGCGTGAGACTGATAGGTCCTGGGTTCGAATCTCGCAAGTCGGGATCGTGGATGCGCCCCTCCACTGAGGAGTCCCACAATAGTATAAAACAGCCATCCTGTGCTTTCAAGTTTTCCATGGTGGTCTAGCTCCAATTACTATAATATCCACAAAACCCTTTCATTCCTTATCATCATCAACATTATATACTTTATCACTTTCAACTTCTAATCAATAATCATACAGAATAAATAGAACGGGAATAATCTGTGAATGAAGTCTAAAGTGATTACCTGCTGTTTTTCATGTATGTAGGATTTATAACTACAAAATCATATTGACATGTTAACATTTTAAAAAAGTTAATCTGTTTAACATTACATATAACAGGTTTTTATAATATAGAAATGAATAGGTAAGTCTTTTCTGCTGTAATAAATCTCAGAAGGGGTTTTGTGGAGATTTCGGTAATTTTCATAGTTGAAAGCGTCAGTCAATTGAAGCTAGACCATCAGAGAAAACCTGGAAGCACTGCTTGACGGCCGTTTCATCCTATTTTGGGAATCCTCAGTAGTGCGCACCCACAATCCCGCCTCACGAGATTTGAACCCATGACCTTTCAATCTCGCACCAGAACACTTGACCAATAGACCACTGATCTGGCCGGCATCTAACGGTGTTAATGTCTAACTTCAACTGGTCCACGAAGTTGAGGAGTCCCATAATAAGACGAAACGGCCATCCAGTGCTTCCAGGTTTTTCATCGTGGTCTAGCTTCAATTGGCTCACTCTTTCAACTATGTAATAAATCTGTTTGTTCTGTCCATCTCATTCCCCCATCTTCAATGTTAAAGAGGTGAGTTTAGTTGATAAGATGTCTGCAATGAACAAACTGACCCAACTTATAACTCAACTACTAAATCAACTGGTTGAACATGAGGATACATATGAATTTGTTATATATGTAGTTAACGAATGAATCATACAAAGAAACTTATGTTTATTCATTTCAAAACGTCAAAACGTTTATTAACCTTGGTAAGCAGAGATGGATAGTGGCTAACAGTGGAATCGAGGACGCGCGTTTCGTCCTATTTGGGACACGTCAACTGGATGTACCTGCATCTCAGAGTTGATGTTCACTCTGGGACTCGAACCCAGTACCTTTCGCCTCAAACGCCATCGCGTTATCCACTCGGCCACTGAGTCCTGATAGCCACTTGCTTGTGCGATGGGGTGAAGTTTAAATTCAACTTAGTATTGTTTGTTTGAATCTTCCCATCGATTTGTTAGGACTGCAACTGGTCAGTCGCTAATTGGCATATGTGCATACTGTGCGTATTGCCTCAATATAGGCCGAGTGGATAACGCGATGGCGTTTGAAGCGAGGGTACTGGGTTCGAGTCCCAGAGTGAACATCAACTCTGAGATGCAGGTAAATCCAGATGACGAGTCCCAAATAAGACGAAACGCGCCTTGTCCTGGGTTCCACTGCTAACCACTATCCATCTCTGCTTACCATGCTTATGAATTAAGGCTATATTGAGGCAATACGCACAGTAAGCACATGTGCCAATTAGAGACTGACCAGTTGCAGTCCTAACACATCGATGGGAAGATTCAAACAAACATTACTACGTAAACTTGTACTTTAATGTGAATAAAATGTTCAGTCTATTCTTTATGCCGTAAATAAAAAAAATTGATCAATATAATGATCCAAGCGTAGATAACAACACATCTCAACTGATTGATGATCATAGATGACCTGAACTCACATTGACATATTAACGATTTGTGTTTTATCAATGATGAAATCAATTTTTCTATTCGGGTAGTTTTATCTATATTCTTCAGATATGTGAATTGGATTAGTAGTAGTAGTAGTAGTAGTAGTAGTAGTAGTAGTAGTAGTAGTAGTAGTAGTAGTAGTAGTAGTAGTAGTAGTAGTAGTAGTAGTAGTAGTAGTAGTAGTAGTAGTAGTAGTAGTAGTAGTAGTAGTAGTAGTAGTAGTAGTAGTAGTAGTAGTAGTAGTAGTAGTAGTAGTAGTAGTAGTAGTAGTAGTAGTAGTAGTAGTAGTAGTAGTAGTAGTAGTAGTAGTAGTAGTAGTAGTAGTAGTAGTAGTAGTAGTAGTAGTAGTAGTAGTAGTAGTAGTAGTAGTAGTAGTAGTAGTAGTAGTAGTAGTAGTAGTAGTAGTAGTAGTAGTAGTAGTAGTAGTAGTAGTAGTAGTAGTAGTAGTAGTAGTAGTAGTAGTAGTAGTAGTAGTAGTAGTAGTAGTAGTAGTAGTAGTAGTAGTAGTAGTAGTAGTAGTAGTAGTAGTAGTAGTAGTAGTAGTAGTAGTAGTAGTAGTAGTAGTAGTAGTAGTAGTAGTAGTAGTAGTAGTAGTAGTAGTAGTAGTAGTAGTAGTAGTAGTAGTAGTAGTAGTAGTAGTAGTAGTAGTAGTAGTAGTAGTAGTAGTAGTAGTAGTAGTAGTAGTAGTAGTAGTAGTAGTAGTAGTAGTAGTAGTAGTAGTAGTAGTAGTAGTAGTAGTAGTAGTAGTAGTAGTAGTAGTAGTAGTAGTAGTAGTAGTAGTAGTAGTAGTAGTAGTAGTAGTAGTAGTAGTAGTAGTAGTAGTAGTAGTAGTAGTAGTAGTAGTAGTAGTAGTAGTAGTAGTAGTAGTAGTAGTAGTAGTAGTAGTAGTAGTAGTAGTAGTAGTAGTAGTAGTAGTAGTAGTAGTAGTAGTAGTAGTAGTAGTAGTAGTAGTAGTAGTAGTAGTAGTAGTAGTAGTAGTAGTAGTAGTAGTAGTAGTAGTAGTAGTAGTAGTAGTAGTAGTAGTAGTAGTAGTAGTAGTAGTAGTAGTAGTAGTAGTAGTAGTAGTAGTAGTAGTAGTAGTAGTAGTAGTAGTAGTAGTAGTAGTAGTAGTAGTAGTAGTAGTAGTAGTAGTAGTAGTAGTAGTAGTAGTAGTAGTAGTAGTAGTAGTAGTAGTAGTAGTAGTAGTAGTAGTAGTAGTAGTAGTAGTAGTAGTAGTAGTAGTAGTAGTAGTAGTAGTAGTAGTAGTAGTAGTAGTAGTAGTAGTAGTAGTAGTAGTAGTAGTAGTAGTAGTAGTAGTAGTAGTAGTAGTAGTAGTAGTAGTAGTAGTAGTAGTAGTAGTAGTAGTAGTAGTAGTAGTAGTAGTAGTAGTAGTAGTAGTAGTAGTAGTAGTAGTAGTAGTAGTAGTAGTAGTAGTAGTAGTAGTAGTAGTAGTAGTAGTAGTAGTAGTAGTAGTAGTAGTAGTAGTAGTAGTAGTAGTAGTAGTAGTAGTAGTAGTAGTAGTAGTAGTAGTAGTAGTAGTAGTAGTAGTAGTAGTAGTAGTAGTAGTAGTAGTAGTAGTAGTAGTAGTAGTAGTAGTAGTAGTAGTAGTAGTAGTAGTAGTAGTAGTAGTAGTAGTAGTAGTAGTAGTAGTAGTAGTAGTAGTAGTAGTAGTAGTAGTAGTAGTAGTAGTAGTAGTAGTAGTAGTAGTAGTAGTAGTAGTAGTAGTAGTAGTAGTAGTAGTAGTAGTAGTAGCAACTCTGTTGTGACATTTGACATCTTTAAATAGTTTATGAAGTTTTCATAGTTAACATCAATGAACTGTGTTGGTTAGATTACTGCTAATAATCAGGATGTTGAAGACAGCTGTTTCGTCACAGTATGAGATTCTTTAGCAATATGCACTCACTAACCCACCTATAGCGGAACTAACTTTCTATTTTTCAGCAAACTACCCTATTTGTTAAACAACGCTAAATAATTTCTTCATTGATCTTATTTAGGTGTTGTTTTCCATAGATCGAGTCCCCTATAGCTTCTTAGAAGTTTATGATTTACAACCACAGTGTAATCCGATACTATGTAACCGAAATAGGAGAAATCAAAGTGTCAAGTCAGTGAAATAATTGTTTCCAAACCACAAAATGAGAAATCTAAGGACAAGTTAGCTGACTAACCCAGCATTTCGGTTTCGAAACATGCATTGTAAGTAAAGATGGGTAGTGGCTAACAGTGGAATTCAGGACAAGGCTCGTTTCGTCCTATTTGGGACTCGTCAACTGGATGTACCTGCATCTCAGAGTTGATGTTCACTCTGGGACTCGAACTTAGTACCTTTCGCATCAAACGCATCAAACTCGGCCACTGACTCCTGATAACCACGTGCTTGTAAAATGGAGTGAAATTTAAATTCATTTAGTATTGATCGTTTGAATCTTTCCATCGATGTGTTAGGACTGTAACTGGTCAGTTTCTAATTGGTATATGTGCATACTGTGTGTATTGCGTCGAGTCCCAGAGTGAATATCAACTCTGAGATGCAGGTACATCAAGATGACGAGTCCCAAATAGGACGAAACGCGTCTTGTCCTGGATTCCACTGCTAACCACTATCCGTCTTTGCTTACAATGCTTGTGAATTAAGGCTATATCGAGGCAATACGCACAGTATGCACATATGCCAATTAGAGACTGACCAGTTGCAGTCCTAACACATCGATGGGAAGATTCAAACGATCAATACTAAATGAAATATGCATTGACACAGAAGTAACTGAAGTGGTAAATTAACGTTCACATTGTAAAACTAGATAATTTATTGTCTAAATGAATTATCATTACGAGTCAGCTAGCATATATCAAACAATGGTTAGCTTCTTGAAATAACCATTAACACCTTTGAGTGGCCGTTCCGGTAAGACACAAACAGTCTCTGTTTTTGATTTCCTACTTCATTTCCCCATAGGCGTCTTAAATACAAACTGTCTGTCAGTCAACATATAATATTTAGATACTGATTACATTTGTGTAAGATATTATAACCGCCTGAAATCTGACAAAGTGGAAGTTGTCACTATCGATTTTACAGTATCATAAATAGACAATGAAACTAGTTATCTCCTAAATGGCTAAGTGCTCATTTAGAAAAGAATTCATTTTAATGATGAAATATTTTTTCTTCATTAAAATTTTAACACCCTCCTCTCTTTAACTGTTTTTCTATAATCAGTCTATTATCGTTGGCCGGATACTATCAGCAACAGCATTTTATGGGAGAGGACAAATCAACTCCAAGCTGAAGAGGAAATTAGGAAAAGACGTTGGAAGTAAATCGGACATACATTAAGGAAATCACTAATGTGCATTACAAGGCAAGCCCTTACTTGGAATCCGGAAGGGAAGCGTAAAAGAGGAAGGCCAAAGAACACATTACTCTGGCAAATGGAAGCAGATATGAAAAGGATGAATGTTAACTGGAAAGAAATAGAAAGGATTGCCCAGGACAGAGTTAAATGGAGAATGCTGGTGGGCGGCCTATGCTCCTCGACGACGGGTAACAGGCATAAGTAGGAAGGAGACTATTATCGTCCAAGTAGTCTCATAATATTATTTGTTTAGGCGATCTTTCTAGAATCAGTTACATTATTTATACTAATGGTAATTATTGATTAATATAGTTCCAAACCAATCATTCTTATAAAGCCCTCCCTTTGTTGAATATGTTACTTCAATGGTCAATTGTTTAATTGTTTTTTTAATTTTAATCATGGAATAAAAACTCAAAAGTAATATGTTTGACAGAAGTTTATTTAATTATATAGTTGAAATCATGAGTCAATTGAAGCTAGACCACCATGTAAAACCTGAAAGCACTGCACGACCATTTCGTCCTACTGTGAGACTCCTCAGAAGTGCGCATCCACGATCCCGCCTCACGAGATTCCAACCCAGGACCTACCAATCTCGAGCCGAAGCCCTTAACCGATAGACCACTGAGCCGGCATCCAATGGTGTTAATGTCTAACTTCAACCAATCCACGATTTTGAGCAACCGTTCACCAATTGTCTTCAGTGAGATGACATCTCTACAACAGACCTGGTAGAACTCCACTTGTCACTGCTTCCCACTAGAACTCCAGGAAATACGTCATGGAGCCAGTCACTAGTGAGTATATGATCATTATTAGAATGGGGTTTTTGTGGAGATTTTACTAATTTTATATAGTTGAAATCATGAATCAATTGAAGCTAGACCATCATGGAAAACCTCGAAGCACTGGACGGCCGTTTCGTCCTATTATGGGACTTTCCCACAAAGCCCCCTTCTGATAATTGTTTTCCTGAATTGTATTAGTTTTATGCTTTCTTTTTATTTCTTCGTTAATTTACAATTATACAAAAATATAAATGTGAATGATCATTCATTTCATGAAAAGATAGCAATCGACTCAGTATGATTTTGCTTGAAAGATATTCGTAACAAGATTGACTCGATGAAACTGATAATATGGTTGAAGGTAGTCAATAGGAAACCCTGGAGGTAGAGTTCGTACTACATTGTATTCATCTTCACTGTGTACCTATAATCTTGATGGAAATGATACTACATGGCGGACTTGATCCTGTGTCACTCAGCTTCATCGTATGTATGTATGTGTGTATGCTTGACAACATGTGACAGCTTACACACATATCCCTCATTATAGCTTAAATGTTAGTTGTTTCAATCGCTCGATGAATGATTCGATTTCCTCAAATATTTATGGTTGAATCTTATTGATTCACTCGACTCTCTATTAGATTGTTTACATGACTTTAATTCATCTTTGTATTCGCTCAGTCGAATACGTTTGGTGTGCTTGTGGCTTAGTGAACTATGTTATTCAATGATAAACTGTAGTCGGTACTTATTGTTACCTTCTCAATTTATAATATGTTGGGATTTATTTAATAACGGTTATGAGGGCCGACGGTGGGGAGAGTTAGAACTCACAATCGAAATGGTCTCACATAACCACGTGTATACAGCCACTGATAGGGAAGTCCTACTCACTTCCTTCTCACAGTGGCGAGGGTGTTGTTTACGAAATTGAGAAGAAGAAAAGTAAATATCCGGTGCTTCAATCTGGCTGGTGGACACGGAAATCCACCTAGGGGAGTTGGAAAACCCTCATTCCAAACATATAGTGCACATGGTCTCCAGTATCCTGAGGGGACAAATGGCATCTGAACCAACCGTTGGTGACCGGCTACCATGGGACTGCATCTCCTCACGATGCTTCACTGCCTTGTGAATCAGATCTTTAGGTCAAAGGCTTGGGGTGTGATCCCCTAATAAAACCTGCTTCAGTTAGGGCACTTGGACAGTCTCATAGCCGTCACACAAATCTCATTTAATTTGTGTGGCGCATATATATCTGGTGTCCCTTTATACCAATATTTATGTGTTTAAATAAATAAATAAAAGTATAACTAGGTCGATCAGTTCGAATATACTTTGTCATTAATTTAGAACAACGAATTTATAATGAATACAAAGTATTTAGATTGTTGAAAGCCTTTTAAATAAGTAACTGATAATCATACTATATTGATTTTATATATGAATATCAATATTACTTCCGATACCATGATTGAATTATCTGTTCGATTATCATGTAGACTAACAACGTTGATGATCTATGTCGAATGATTGGAGGCCTACTCAAGTTAGACGGGAATGGTGTAACGAACAAACTAACTTCGAAGTCACACCTCCCGAGCAGCACCTTACGTGGATTGCCCCATCAACTCATCAAGGGACCATGGATGCTCTAGAGACTGTACAACACAAAGGACGTTATTACAGGAATATATTAGTTAAAATAGATACAAGCGAAAGTAGAAGCACTGCCACATAGGCCAGTCCATGACGTATGATTAACTGATGCGCGTTGATTGTCCTTGACCTTGACAGGGATCGATGATTTGTTCGATATTTAATAACTCAACTGCCGGATGATTTGACTAGATTTCAGTGACATTTCACTGGCCCTACAATTTTCACCATTCTTCTGTTTTAACAAATGTAACGGATGATTGTACAAATTCATTTACATGTTTATCAATTGACATTATTGATTGAATTGAAAAAAAATTATCGATTTTCTGTGTTAGCCAAAGGTCATACATGTCTATACATTTGGTTACCTATTAGTACTTCCTATTGAAATATACATGTATTATAGTGATGATGATGTGTACAATTCTAAAGAGTTTATTAAGCCAATACCTCATTACATTTAAACAACTGAGTCATCATGCCTTTATTTGTTTTGTTTTGTTTGTTTTCATTCCCTATAATTGATCCATTCAGAAGGAAATGTCATCATCATTATTACTTACAGTCAAACAATGTAACTAATCCATGGAAATCAGAATAGATTCAAATGGTTCAAATGATTATGGACAGAATAGAAGAAGCTTCCGTTTAACGGGTTTCCATGTCTAGTAGTAGTGGATTATCAATACCGTCAGGCAGGAACCTAAGTTTATTAACGGTAATAGAGTGAAGATACTACAGGTATTGTTGTTTGACAACACTTTACAAATAACACTCTCACCCAGTAAAATCAAAAGTCAGAAGAGAGGAGGTTAGAAGATATATGTGATAGATTCTCAATTTATCGAGGACTGACTGATTTAATCTGGGTAGTGGTCGCAGGAGATGTGGTGCGCGCAATTCCAAACCATGATCTGGTGCAGATGCATGACCGAGCGCCTTTAGCTAAATGAGTCCATTAAAATTAATATGGTCACCATCCAATGTCGAACACTTACAGAGCTATTGATTTTGGGGATTTATTTACAGCTACAAGAGGAAAAATTTATTTGCGGGGTCGTGGTCTGAAAGAAAGCTGCAAAGGGCTAACTTCTGTTGGCCCTTTAAGACTTCCTGGCTGGGGTCCGAGAGATGGTGCAACACAGTGGCTAGAGACGTTATCATATATGGCTCAGAATAGAAGCCAGTGGCGATCCTGCTGTAACCTTCTTTTACTTTCTTCATAAAGTGTGGTTATAACTTTCTTAAATGAGAGAGTTCTTCTGATTGTACATTCCAGTTCCCCATATCGTTACTCTTCTCTTTTTTTCCTTCTTTTATAAATACACATCTTCTTCCTTCTCCTACCATTCTCATTATTTTGTGTGGTGCATATGTATCCGGTGCCCTTTGTACCAATATATGTGTGATTAAACAAATGAATAAACAAGAGGAAAAAAAAGATATTGGTAAATCATAATAAGATGTTATCCTTAGTTCTTAAGAATAGGTCAAGTTTCCTCCTGTAGTATTTTTGGGAAGTCGCTTGGACTAGGTCAGTCGGTAGCGAATTCCAGTATTTGACAACATTTAAAGAGTAGAAGTTGTGTCTACAGTCCGTTCTGCTATGTTGGGTCTCCAGTTTCTAGGTGTTACCACTTAGGTTTGTATTGAGACTAAGCTAAAATAGGTGTTTAAGGGGATGTAACGTGACAGTATGATGACCATTATAATTATGACATTGATGCATCAGTGAATTTCGAAATAAGTAAATAATAACTTAGTATTTTAATTGTGTTAAATTAAAATAAATTTGTAGTGGATTATCCTCGAGATATATATTTATTAATTAACTTGAACACATAAATAATGGTACAAAGTGGCACCATATATATATATGCGCCACACAAATCAAATGAGACTTGTGTGAGGGCTGTGATACTACCCGGGTGCTCAAACTGAAGCGGATGGTTTTATTAGGAAGCCACACCAAGAGCCTTCGACATAAAGGTCTGATCCACAAGGTAGTGGAGCAACATTAGAAAATGCAGTTTCATAGTAGCCGGTGACCACCAATAGGCTGATATACCATTTGTTCTTTCAGTGTGTTGGAGCCTATGTGCACTATTGATTTGGAATCTGGGTTTTCCAACTCCCCTAGGTGTACCCTCCGTGTCCACCAACCCGGTTAAAGCACTTGAATTTCGCTTTTCGTCCTCTCAATTTCGTAAACAACACGACTGCCACGAGAAAGTAGTCAGTAGGACTTCCCTGACAGGCTATATACGCGAGGCATGTGAGGGTATTTTGAGAGGGAGAACGGACCCTCCCCACTCTCAACCGTACCACGACTCCATAAGTTGATCTATTTGTGTGGAATGTGAACATGCTAATATATAGTTTATGCAAATACAATCACTTAGAATAGTTGCTCAGTGAAAATCCTAATTATTCGTAGCTCTAACGTTACCATTTAGAAACTCTGTTATTCTGAATTCCACATCATCATGGATTGAAACGAAGGATCATTGGTCGCTTTTTTATCTTCATGACTATCGTTGGTCAGATATTAGTCATCTCTCATAACTATAAGGTCAATAAAATAACATTAATTCGTAGTTATGTCATCATGACAATCATTAATATAATCGTATTTCTAAACACTGATTATCAAACATTGAACTGTTTGTCTTGAACTCCAATGTTCAACAATAATTAGCTCTTACAAAATTCATAACCGAACTTCAAACAGGCGTTTGGATCAACTTGGTCACATTCCAGTGAATCAGCTTCCGATTTCCTTCCATCATGTTATGAGTGATCAAGATGTAAGTGAATTGAATTGTACAATATTTACATAAGTATAACTAGGCCCCCAAATCCCCTGGTACGGTCGAGAGTGGGGAGAGTCCGCTCTCCCTCTCCAAATGCTCTCACATGGCCACGAGTATATATCGTCTACCAGGGAAGTCTTACTCACTGCCTTCTCGTATCACTGGTGTTGTTTACGAAATTGAGAGGACGAAAAGAGAGTGTCCTGTGCTTTAACCGCACCGGTGGACACGGAGGGTCCATCTAGGGGAGTTCAGAAACCCTCATTCCAAACCAATGGTGCACATGGGCTCCAGTATCCTGAGGGAACAAATGGCGTATGAACCAATCGTTGGTCACCGGCTACCATGGGACTGCATCTCCTGACATTGCTCCACTGCCTTGTGGATCAGACCTTCAGGTCAAAGGCTAGGGGTGTGGCCCCCTAATGAAACCACCTGCTTCAGTCTGGGCACCTGGACAGTATCACAGCCCTCACACAAATGAAATGAGATTTATGTGGTGCATATATATCTGGTGCTTCCTTGTACCAATATTTATATGTTTAAATAAATAAATAAATAAGGTCATTGGAAACTATGACAGTTTGAGTGATATCTGCCTTAGGAATGTAATAAACAAATATGATTTTACTATATTATTGCCTATCAGAAAGCTCACAGGCCTCTATTTCATAAGTCCGACTTCCGATTTTTGAAACTAATTCTAACAAGGAAGCAAATGAAGGACTTTTTGAACTATATTCGTCCTTCATACCAACTGTTATTTATTTATTTAAACACAAATATTGGTGCAAGGGGGCACCAGATACAATATGCGCCACACAAAATAATGAAAAAGGAAGAGAAAGGGGTAAGATGTATATAAAAAAAGGGTAATGGTGAGGGAAACTGAAATGTACAATCAGAAGACTCTTTCAGTTAAGAAAGTTATAACCACACTTTATGAAGAAAGTAAAAGAAGGTTACAGCAGGATCGCCATTGGCTTCTATTCTGAGCCATATCTGATAACGTCTCTAGCCACTGTGTAGCACCATCTCTCGGACCCCAGCCAGGAAGTCTTAAACGGCCAACAGAAGTTAGCCCTTTGCAGCTTTCTTTCAGACCACGACACCATGGCATACACTGACCACCTCTCCGCTCTTTCTAATCAATCCCAGAGTCGGCAAATAATGCACGTCTTGGAATTCTCTGGAACAACATTCGTAGAATATGTCCAAGCCACCGAAGTCGGTGTTTCAAGATAGTGACAGTAGTAACTATAATTCGTCTGGTAATATCATCGTATGATAATAGAAAGTTGAAAAATACAGTTTAGTCAGTAAATTAATAGACTTCAACTTCTAATTTCAACTAAAGATAACGTTTCATCTAATAGTGGTAGCGTTACAAGTTATGTTAGATTATAGCCTTATCATCTAATTTATAAACTCAAATTATCAACAAAAGTTGTTTGAATCCTAAACTTAATCATAGTTCAGAAGGTGTCTTGTAGAGATTTCATTATTTTCATAGTTGAAATCATCAGTTCATTGAAACTGAGGAATCCCATAATAGAACGAAACAGCTGTTAAGCATTGCTTCCAGGTTTTCCATAGTTATCTAACTTCAATGGACTCATGATTTCAACCATATAAAATTAGTAATAGAGTTGTGAGAATTAACTGGCCTAGTTCTATCATCCACTTCAAGGGTTACCCTACAACAAGCTATCATAAACTACGTAACACCAAACAGACATAACAGCATGGCTGATTTTTGGTAGGTCTGACAAAATGGATGAGACATCATCTTGTTTTCATAATTGAAATCATGAGTCCATTGAAGCTAGACCACCATCGAAAACCTGGAAGCACTGGACGGCCGTTTCATCCAATTATGGGACACCTCAGCAGTGCGCATCCACGTTCCCGCACTCGCGACATTCAAACCCAGGACCTACCAGTCTTGCACCAGAGCACTTAACCGATGGACCACTAATCTGGCCGACATTCAACAGTGTTAATGTCTAACGTCAACCAATCTATGATGTTTGAGCAACCGTTCACTAATTGTCTTCAGTGAGTTGATATCTCTACAACAGACTCGGTTGAACTCCACTGGTTATTGTTTCCTACTAGAATTTAAGGAAACATCCTTTGAAGTCAGTCACTAGTAGGCATATGATTACAGATCAGAAGGGGTTTTTGTGGATATTTCAATATTTTCACAGTTGTCATAACTAACTGGCCTAGTTCTATCATCCACTTCATGGGTTACCCTACAGTAACACCAATCAGACATAACAACATGGATGGTTTTTTTTTGGTAGGGCTGAACAAAATGGATGAGACATCATCATTATCTTGTTGTTAGGATGATGATTCATAACTGTATGAATATATATTTAATAACATATCACCACCCTTCCAATATTGCTTTGTTATTTACTAATTTTAATTTATGCACAACCTTATTCAAATAACCAATCAGAAAAGAGTATTGATCAGTTTCAAGGTTGTTGATTGGATGACATGTCTATGCTACTAAAAATCCAAAATCAATTTAGCTCTATATAGGATAGACAGACTGATCCATTAAAACTTTCCAGTAGACCTAGGTTAGTTAGCTACGGTCCTTGTAATTAAAAACAGAGAGAGATTAGTCAACCTAGTCCTTCTCAAAAAAATCAATAAACCGTGGATTTTTTTATAAAAAAAAACAAAAAAAAAATCAACGATGTATCTGTGATATGAATTTTAATACATACTGGAATTTTAACTATTCAATTACACATTTCACTTGTTTATACTTGATTGAAGTTGTCAAAAACTATAATTGAGATTGTAATTCTATGATTGAAAGTATGCGACATCGTGGTCCTACTTCAGAGATTTCATCTAGTTTATATCTTGATAAACATTGTACTGAAACTACAATATTATCAACTGATTCATCGAAATCTGATCAACAATCAGGAATATATTGTACATCGATAACATCTAAAACATCTGGAATATCACCTGTATTATCACGTTTACATCCATCGAATGTATCTAATTGTTTTTCTCAATCGAATCGAGTTCAACGTCATGATTTTAAATCAAAATATTCAAGTCAATTAAATAGTCTTAATTCATCTCAAGAGATAAATAAATCTGGAAGATATATAAATCATCGAAAAATTCGTAAAAAGTCCAAAAGGGAAACAAGATTTCAAATGAATGGAAATATGGATCAAAATTTTCATTCTCTTAAAGTTACTATTAGAAGAACATATAAATCGAATAAAATGGAAAATGGTATTTGTGCAATTGTAAATACACCAGATGGAAGTATTAACCATGATATTTCATGTCAATCAATTAATCATACTGGTGATAATAACAGTTCAACAAAACAATGTGAGACTCAGTTATATAATGAAAAATTAGAACAGGATGTGTATAATCCAGTAAGTCATGTTACTATATGGTTCTGTGACTAGCTTTACTATGCATATTTATTGATTGTTCACCTAAATGTTTGATCCATGGATCTTAGTCTTTAAATACTAACGGGAATCATTATAAACAGACTACAATATTATGATCGCGTAACCTCGTGCAGAAAATAGCCAAACAACTAGAACAGTTTACCAAATTTTCAAATAATAAAGTTACGGGATAGCTGGATTGTTGCGAAAAATATCCAGGCACAACTGAGATGTCTTACTCATTTTCTTTAAAGCAGTTAGTCCCTTTGATAAACTCCGATAGTGTAATAAGAAGATAATCTTCATCTTACCATTTCCTTTTCGTTGGTAACGATAAGGTGGTCTACATTTTATACAACTTTATAGAAACAATAATATGGTGACCCTACCACTTTGATGCTGCTACATAGCACTATGCAGTTTCAGTTTAAATTCTATGTGAGTACATCTAGTTGGAGTTTTTAATTCTGCGGTGTTCGTTTTATACAACAAATAATTCAGTACTTACCACATGATCGAACTCCGAAAGCACTAAATTAGTGCATGCAACTAGCAATTTAACACGAAGTAGTTTTGTGTAAAAATTAACAGTTTGTGCATTATCACTTCTTTCAGATTCGATCATAAACAAAGTAAATTGTGTAAGTCCGCATCTGCTGCGTTACAAATGTTGCATTTCAGAGAAATGGTTAGTTTCGTGAAGAGAGATCAACACAAATTATGGAAATATTGTATACAGTTAAGGACTGAAATAATATCTTAACATTATTCTTAGATAACTTAATGAGTGCACCTACACCGTTGGAACTGGTTTTAAGCCATGATATTTAATAGTCATGAAATATAGGTCTCCGTCTTGTGAGTCCGTACTAAATCACGCGGTCTTAACACCTTTAATCTCAATTCAGAACTTCACGAACTAATAGTTTTACTTTGTTTGGGTGACATCAAGTTCTTTTCTTTTAGCAATATGCCAAGTAGGATGAATGCCAAGTTATGTGGTAATTGGGCGTGTAATGCAATAAATCGTCTTATCTCATTTTGGTCTCTCCATGCAACCTCAAGCCTTATATATACCTAGCATAAGTCAATTATCCCAGTTTATAGTTTCAAGATCTTTGCATATTGTTGTTATCTCAGCAATACGGTATTCCTACTTTAAACACTTGGTCGAGGCAACGCGTATGACGATTCGTCTGACTATGCTCATCAATGCTGTCCACTTACAATTTTTTCGAATATGTCATAAATATTATCTGATATAACATTCACGTCTGATGTTTACAGGGATTGAAAAGAAATTTATTTACGTGAGGTACTGATATGAGTTTTATTAAGTCAAGATTTTTCTTAAATTTCGCCTTGTGAGTATCAAGGGAAAATATTTGAGGCGTTACTGTTGTTCTCAGTTTAAGATATTTTTAAAAACTGATACATATCATTGCCTAGTTTCGTAACTTGGTCGAGCACCCTGACCTCCTCATATGTCTTGTGTTTCATCGGATGACGTGATCGTGGTTTTTAGCTGGCCTGTAGTTTGGATAAGCGTTGTTGCTTAGTGAGTAAAGCATTTGAATGTTTACCATTGAGTTGCAGGTCGGAATCATGGCTATATTTACCAACTTAAGGATACAAAGTTTTCATTTATCTCTGGTTATTTATGAAATAAAAATACTATTCGTTCACAAAATAAACTATTCAGGAAAATAGTCTGACTACCAAGCTTTTACAGTTTTGGACGTTAAAGTTTGATTTGGTGTCGGATATCGATACTGTTATATATCCGAGAGGCCGATTCCTAGGTTATATACCATATTCGTGTTACGTTACGAGAAACTTACTGCATACCATGTCCCTAGCAGTTCACATAGATTTGGGTACCAAGAATAAGACTATATTTAATTTATAATTCGTTTTTCACAGCATCATTATAACGATTTAATTCATTTGCCCAGTATACGTTAATTTATTCAGCTCCAAGTTTTTGTCTGTACGTATATCGTTTAGGTCAACCGGGTAGTCAGTCAATCAGTCAGCTACAACGTAGGACCAGGCACATTTATGCATCGGTCCAAGTTGCCATACCTCGTTAGAACAACAAGATGAACACCGGATTCATAGAAGTAATTAATTTACTGGTGGTAGTAGTATATAAATTATAGGTCGTATATAAGGATATAATATAGGAAGAAAAGCCGATATGAAGCAATTTTTATTTCAAGGTTTAAGGGAAGATAAAGAGTGTATACACCTGCACCATTATGGTCGATTCTGAGCCATGTCACCTAGAGTCTCCAACCACTGGTTACGATAGTCACGCGGACCCCAACCAGGTAGTCTGCATCTGCCAACATGGCTCAGACTAAAAGTTAGTGATTTCAAGCACTGATGTCATGTTTTGGTTTGACCGCCCCTAACTCTCTTCCAACCATCCCCTACACTAGTCAACATTGCGCGTCGTGGTAATCGGTGTTCAGGCATACGTAGCACATGGCCCAACCATCTCAGTCGATGAAGATTCATCACCTAATCAATTGATTTACCATCATTCCCTAATACCCTGCGTCTAACCTCACTATTACTTACCCGGTTATCCCAGCAGATGCGAGCAATATTTCTAAGGCATCTGTGGTCAAATACTAGTAACCTACGAGTATCTTCTACTCTTAATGGCCATGTTTCACAGCCGTAAAGTAGAACAGAGCGAACTGTTGCGCAGTATACTCGTCCTTTAATTGATAGACGGATATCTCGTTTTCGCCATAGGTGACGTAAGTTGGCAAAAGCCAAACGAGCTTTTTGAATCCGTGCTGAGATTTCGTCGTCAGATACCAACCCATTAGAGCTGATCAGACTTCCAAGATAAGTGAAGTAGTTGACACGTTCCACTACTTAATTCCCTATCTTTAGTTCGGGTGTTGATGCAGGCCAGTATTGGAGCAACAACTTGCATTTAGATGGTGAGAAACGTATGTCAAACATCTTGGCATTATTACTGAGTTCCAACAGAAGACTGCATTTTGTCAGCGTCTTCACCAAACAGGACTATGTCATCTGCGTATTCTAAGTCACTTAGAGGTCCCCCTGGTAGGAGATCAATTCCTGAAAATTCAGTCGACGAGTGTTTTTTCCAGCAACAGGTCTATAATGAAGCTAAACAAAAATGGAGATAATAGACAGCTTTGCCGCACATTACTTGAGGTTGTAAAATCAGATGACAGTTCGACATAAGCTCCCACTTGACTGGTAGTGTTCGAGTAAAGAGCCTTCACAAGGCTTATGAAATTCTGAGGTATACCTTTCAATGACAGACATTGCCACAGAACCTTTCGGTCTACAGAGTCAAATGCTGCTTTCAAGTCAAGAAAAACTATCATTGTCGGACGCCGATAAGCGTGTCTGTGCTCTAAAACTTGACGAATGGTGAATATGTGGTCGATACAGCCACGACCAGGTCTGAAGCCAGCCTGATTTTCTCGTGTTTGCAGTTCACGAATCTTAGTTAGGCGCCTGATAATTATTGAGGCTAGTATTTTAGATGCTATGTTAGTCAGACTAATCCCTCTATGGTTATCACAGGATGATTTTGACCCCTTCTTATATATTGGGACAATCAGTGATTGTGACCAGTCATATAGGATTACATCCGTCTCCCAGATTTTAGCCAGAATATTAGTCAACCTAATCTCTAAAATCGGACCACCATATTTAAAGACCTCTGGAGCCAATCCATCTGGACCAGCTGCTCTTCCTCGTTTCAGATTACTTATAGCCTTTTGAACTTCAAGTAGGGTCGGGGGGCCTACTTCAATGTTCCATCCAGGTTTTCTAGGAATAGTGGGTAGTTGTGCAGTAGCTGAATGCCAGCTAAACTGCTCCTTAAAGTGTTCCGCCCATCGTTCTAAACGTTTGGGTTGAGAGCAGATAAGGGTTCCGTCTTTTTCGGAGATTGTCTCACACTTGACTTCTTAATTCCGGTTTCTTTTATTAGTCTGAATAGTTGCCTGGTGTTGCCTACAGCTGCAGCCTTTTCCATCTCTTTTGCTTTCGTTGCCCACCACTGCTCACGATCGTTCCATAGACTTTTAGTTAACCTATATCTAATTTGTTTACGCTCTTCATAGTGTTCAGAGACTGATGGGATGAGTTTACGCGAATACGAGCAACAATCTTCTATTGAGCCTCTCCAACGATGTCTGATGACAATATTGTCTATTTGAGTCCATCGTTTGTTTGGTGCAGGTGGTCGCCATGTTAGACGATGTCTCTCCTTATGTTTAGAATTAGTGTTTGGTAAAAATAAACGATTTTCTGAGCATAGTTGCAACAGACGATCACCATTATCTGTTCGCTGAGCCGGAATACTAAAATACCCACCTATATGTATTGCTATTTGGTTCAAGCTGTCTAATTGGGCATTAAAGTCAGCTGCTACGATTACTATGTCTGAGAGCTTAGCTTTTGAAAACGTTCACAAATCTTTCTGTAAAAGCCATCTTTCACTACATCCGGGCTGCAGTCAGTGGGAATGTAGGCCGAAACGACGAAAAAGCAACGACGTGTGTCCCCATCCTTCCGAGTTCTTACGGAGCCATTTGGCCGGACAGCACACAGGCGACTGTTAACGGGGATCCATTCTAGTAGTGCCTGTTCTGCTCTTGTACTTAATGCTATGCCTACACCTGCAAGTCCACGAGAACTAGCCAACGGGTCGCCAGATACACGGAGGGTGTTTTTATCGTTGACTGTCCATTTTGGCGTGGTGAGGTCAAGTGAATGACCACACTGGGATCCTGATGCATGTTTCGGAGACACAGCATATATCAATGGCACGAGATTCTAGGGTTTTAGCTAAGGAGGCCTGTTGACCGATTTGGCATAGGGTACGTACGTTGAAGGCTCTAATGTGTAGTTTGGATCGAGGTTTTAGTAGACCTGGGACAGTGTTTCGCGCACTAGAATCGTTGGCCATGGTGACA